TCCATTACCTAATGCAACACGTTGGAACTCCTGGTATAAAATGGCATTTTATACAGAAGAACACTTGCAATTTATTCAGGATTTTTATATTAAAATGGAATCGGAGTTGAGAAGGATGAATATAAGACATTCATTTTATCAAAATTCTGCTAATGGGTGATACTTTTGGAATGAATAATTTCATTGTTATCGAGGGAATCGGAGTCGAGAAGAATGAACACAAAACGTCTAATGCTTCAAAAAGGTTGCTAATATGAATAAGTAATCTCAATGATTGCCATCGAAATGGATTCAGAGTTACAAAGAGATATTCAAAGAGCTAATCATTGGTATCGAAAAGAAAGAAGTCTTAAAAAACTAATGAATCTTTTACGTGGAAATATCGATAATGATCTTAAAAAATATTGAATGATGAAAATTATTATGGATTAATTATGGTTTCAAAATTAATTTGCAATCATGCGCACGCATGAAACCAACTCTATTTATTCCACTGATTAACGTTAATAAATCATCTTTATACCCACGTACTGTTTGAAGGGTATTGGGTAATTAATTGTAAATAATTATTTAGAGATAGTATTTATGAATAAGTATTCATGTTCAATAGATTTTAATTTGGGATTATAGATTACTTTAAACCATATTATTTTATTTTTAATTTTTTTTTTTTTAATTTTGTTTTAAAAAACTCTGAAAATAAAACTGTAGACTTCTCTAAAATCGTAAATGTTTAAATTAATCATCGAACCTAAACCATCAAATGTCCAGAACTGAAAAAAAGTTCTAATAAATAAATAACTTTCACTGAAAATATAAATTTAATAAGGTATTCCTAAAATAGAAGAAAAAAGATTTAAAAAATTATATAAAACGTAAATTATTTTTTACAAAAATATACCTACCATTTGTAGCCTTTTGAAAACTATCATACCATACAGTTCTTTTATTTTCAAATGACTGATGTATTTTCACAATCATATAATCAGCCGCACGACGTTCAGTTTTATCTAATTGGAATCTTTCACGTAATCTTTTTAATGTTTCGCCTTTGAAACACGGAAGTCCTGAGCTAAGCATTAAACCAACACATTGGCATATATTTTCTGCGTAAGGCCTTTTAAGACAAATAATAAAAATCTTAATATCAGATTGACTCATACTTATCATAATATATTTGATTTTTACCTTACTGCCAAATATGCTTTGATGCATAATTCTGAGAACCATTTGAATTGTTGAACATCTGCACTTCCTCCCATAACTTGAATCATTTCAGTAGTAAGTTTGAAAGGTGAACTTTCAAAATTAATGCCACCAGGTGCAATATCAAGAATGAAACCAAAATCTATATATTTTTTAAATAATTGTTAAAATGTCAAATTTATAATTAACAACTAAATTTACTTTCTGGCTTTATCATACCAATATGAATTATATGTCCTTCATCATCCAACATAATGTTTCCATTATGTCTATCTTTAATTTGTAATAAAAACGATACAACAGAATAGGCAGCTACGCTTTGAATAAAACAATTTCTTGCCTGCAATTAATGTTGTATTTTAAAATAGGGTGAGTAATTATTCTTTTTGAATTATAAAAAGAAATAATTAATAGTGGAATCTTACTTTTTGAAAGGCAATAGAATCCAAACCACCATATTTTGTAAGAAAATAACTATAAAATTTATTTTATACCAATTAATTAAAATCTTTCTCAAAAAGACTCTTAAACGTTAAATTTATTTGACATACTCATAAAGACTATTCACTTTTTCTCGGCCCAATTGATCTCGAGAAATTGAGTTAGGGATAACATCAATGACTCCACACTATAATAGTAAATTAAAAATTAATCATGATTGACAAATTTTAACAATTAAAAAATATATCTCACCCCTGGAGCCGTTGCCACAACTCTGTATGGAAAAAGATATAAATCTAATCCAACACTAGTGAATATATTCTTAAATATTGCAATCAATTGCAAGGCCAATACATCTTGCCGGCAATCATCACCAACTTTGAAAATTGCAGACTGCCACACATCGATTGTCTTGGGTTCTGAATCATCATCTGAATCGATAGATTCCGAATAAATAAATTCGTCTTTACTAGGATCATTTAGTTCTTTCCGTATTCTAAATGTTGCCATAAAAGGTGCCTGTGTGTATAATGATAATGTGTATATAATAATAATATATGAACTCTTATTGTAATTTGATATACTTTTTTATTAAGCCATCTCATAAAAACTAACCTTTGCATGACTTTGTAAGGGTCGACCGGACTTATAATCTATACCCACTACCTTTCCTTCTGGATTACTAGGCAAATAAACACCTACATCAACCTTTATCTTAGCCATCTCTTCATCAATTTTTGCCTAAATAATTTACATAACCTCTTAGTTACAGATTTAATCAAAATAATAATAATTACATACCTTTTTTTCTGCTTTTGTTTTTTTAATATAAGGTTTTAGTTTACCCGATATAGAAGTAACATCATTGAAAAATGCAAATTCTCTTTCATAAAACTTTTTGTCTTCTCCTGATAGAGAATTTACAATATTTTCGATTATACGATCCAATGTTGGCTTCAATGAATCAGGCTAAATAAATAATTCTGTTAATAAGTAAACTAAGAAATTTATCAAAATAATTTAATTCAAAACGAATAAAAATAACAAAAAATTTCCAAAATTATCAACCTACAACCAAAGATTCATCATCTTTATACATGTTTGCGTTCATATTCCATATTATTTGATGAGCAAATAATTGTGATATTTTAGCAGCTCTCAAAATAAATCTTTCAACATAACCTAATTAAAGAATATATATATGTGTGATTACAGTTTCAAAATTACTCTAATATCCTATAAAGAATCTATTTAACATCATACCCAGATTGTCAAATCGTAGCGCTTGCACAATTTGTGGAATATAAAAAAATACAACATCAACTGGATGATATTCAAGAACACGCATTGCATATTGCAAAATTAGAGGATTATTATTATAAACTGATGAAAAGTATGGTGCAGCTGTTATTGGAGAAACTGGTGCCCAATATAAAAGATACTAGAAAGGATTAAAATCACACAATTAATAAAAATAATAAAAAAAAATTATTAAAAATTTTAAAAAATTGTCATACTTTTAACTGTGAGGTAATATTATGATTCAATTTATCGCCTAGTAATAAGGGTAGTGCATCAGCCACTTGTATAGCATCTACGGAATTATTACATAATATTTTATGAACCTCATTTTGTACATTTAATTGCTTAAATCTGGCTGCCAATTGTATAGTTAAACTTGGTGATATTGTCCATGAATGACGTATAATGTTTTTCCATCCTTCCTATATATATTCAATAAAATTAATAGGTGAATATTTGCTTTGTGACAATCAACATAATGTAAATATTATAAATACCTCCGATAAACTTTTTTCCGTGCTAGGGATAAATATCTCTTTAATTGTGTCAGGAGAATTTAGTGGATTGCACCATGTTGCCATGTTACTTATCTCACTCTCCAAAAATAATAGTAAAAGACCTTTAGACTTTTTAAATTGATTTATAATTTCATCTTTACTTTTATCTAAATTTTGATATATAATATAAAATATTGAAAAACACAAGATTAAAAAAAAATAAGTATATAAATTAGCTCCAAAACAGAAAAATATCAAATATCCGCTTTTTTTAAACATATATATACCTTGAAATGCAATTAGTGGGCTTGATAAAGTTAATTGAGAATACTTTCTAGGTGTGGTAGATAAAATTTCGTTCAATTCAATTTTATCATTATCGACCAGCTTATATACCTCAATCAATAGCCTATATTCACTGAGCATTGCCCTTTTATTGCCACCATAAACCCATCTTATAATAGTGAGAATAGAAAAAAGTAGATGTTAAAATGTAATCAGGTTAAATTTTAATAATATATTTAAAAAAAAATATATATATATACTTTGGCGTAAGAGAAAACCATGAAAAAGCAGTCTTAAAAATTCTTAAACGGAATTTATGCTCTATTGATGCTTCCATTCTGTGGGATTGTAAAATTCTAAATCCAATTATAAGTATTTGGAGTCTACCTTCTCGAGATAACGAATGATTACTAAAGAATACATATAATTATTATATATTTAGACTAAGAATATAAATCGAATATAAGCTGGAAATTATATAATAATATACCTATAATGATCACAATGATCAAGAGTTATTTGAAAGAGTCGTACATAAAGATATACTAGTTCATTACTTCGATATCTGAACGCTTGGAATCGGCCAGATAAAAACTGAATCCAAACCAAATGTGGCTCGAATAAATCTTTAGCAAGATTATAAATCTTATCTCTAGTGGCTTTGTCCGATGGTGCGTACTGCATCTTATTTACAAAAGGGTCTTTTACACTAATAAAAATTTTAAAGTCAATTATTTAAATAAAATATAATATTAAAATT